TACTTTGGTATAGGAACCTTATCACATATTTTATTTTCTATCTACATTTTCTTGTCAGTGTTGATCTAAACTATTTATTTTTAAGGATGAAAATCTCTGACTGGATACGATTTTGTGGATTAGTATGGATTCTTTTCTTAATGTTGGTATAGTGTCATGTTTTAGTGTGTGAGTATGTCATTAGCAAGTATCTGTGATAAAACTCAGTTAAAGTCATAATTTAATTTTCCTAGTAGAGATTGTTTAGAATTATGTACTGATGTTTTCCTTTGTGTTTGTCCTCAGAAGAAAGGTTTCTGTTTTTAGCTATTCATGACCTTTTGACCGTTTGTTTAGCAAGGTGTGTGATGAATACAAGAAATATAGAAGACATTTAGAAACAATTCATGGTGCCTTCAATTTAAAAAGAATAAAAATATTGATTGACTTTTTATGGCTTTAATTTGAAAGATTAACCAAGGATTGTCCAAGTAAATAACCCCACACGCATAGTTTTGATGATTATAGCAATGTAACTCAACATTGGTTGATCAAGCACAAAGAACAACCATTTTATTGATGCAGATCAAGTGTCATTATTCTGATGATGTGACTTAGCAAAAGCAATATACCTGTAACTTCTGGCCAGAGTTAATGCTGATTCTGTAAGCTTGATAAATTACTCAACTTTTAATTGAAAATATGCCAAAGTGTTACCATAAAGGTGTAGTCATTTAAAGGAACCAGGCGTTAGGTGATTCAGCTTGAAAGATGTTTAATGAGCCAAAATCAATATGAACGGCATAACAGGTGAGGAATTGTAAGTTATTTCCCTCCAAACTCAACATGACTTTCCCTTCGTCAATGCATTTCCTAAACTGTAGTGAGGTATTTGTGATCGACTTGTAATTTTAGCTTTTTCGCTTTACTAATGCAATGCTTTGCATTCCCTATGGTCATATCAGATGAATGTATGCCTTTTTCGTTTTTGAAAAATTTCTGTTTTCACTTGGATTTGCATATTGTCTTGCGTTTCTCGGGGTAATCCGAATTCAAGTAACGCGCCAATTTATGCTTGAAGGAGGGGGAATCGCAAGGCGGGAGTACTCATTCCAGCGACACCAACCTCGGCAGTTTGAAAAGTATCTTCTTATTTGATCTTTCGTTCCCTTCCCCGATGATTTTGAAAACTAACTGCAGACAAATCGGGAATCAAATGCACTCTTTCGGAGGGTTTTATGATCTGAAAAAATGTATGAAAAGAACAGTGAAGTGGTATCTTTTGTGGTGGCAGTTCTGTATAACAAAACAAAAACGACAATCCAGAGAGACTGCGCAGGCGCATGCGGCGCGGCGTTGGGAGTCATTCACCGAAAACTGGTCGTTGCTGGCGGTAGAAGTCTCTGTCTAGTCTAGTCAGTTTCGCTAGATACTTGAGGCTCATTATATAAGATTTTCAAGATTTGACGGTCCCTGTCCGAAGAAGGCAGTATTTTATCGATTTCCATCAGTTCCCAAGTCTTTAATTGTAAGTATTCAAGCGGTTGTTCTAACGAATTCGTTGAGCCTATTGTCACCGGAGAGCGGGAAAGTGTTGCTCGGTTGCTGTCTTTAATTTAACTTGCCACATGTATGAAATTTCTTCTTGGCTTTGATCCAATTCCTTCGTAGAAGCTGAGAGATGCAGTTGGAGTCTCGAAGATTTCTTAGTCTGTCAGTTGGATTTGGGTTAGGTTCATTGACTTTGCTGGAGTGCGAATGACACTGACGGCCACCATGAGGTCCATGAGGCATGTTCATTTCTGCATACTCAGTATATTATTTGCGTTCTGAGCGATCATCTACGCTACCGCCTACTTGAGTAGTTTAAATATCATTTCATAGAAGTCTTCCACCAAATATGTGCTTAGTTTTTGTCACGTCTATTCAATCCATATTCACTTTGTTCTCTAACTCTCAACCTTCATGTTGTGCTATGTATTCGTAGGACTTCTTTCCCTCTGGAGAGATTATGTTAGTTGTGTGGATTTTAGGTTCTTATCAGTTTAGCAGGCTGTAAAGTGTCATGTAAGTGGTCAGTACGTAGCCTATCTGGTCTCGTTCTGTGGTTATTTGAATCTGGCAGCAGGGTGATTTATATTTTTCTAGGCTGATCCCGCTAATTGAATACGCAAACTATTTGTCAAAGTAGTCATGATTTCACTGGTTTTGCTGTGGTCCGATATTTACAGAAATAACTTGCTTTATTTTAAAAATCACAGAATTTTTTTCACATCGGCAGTGTCTAGCTAGTCTAGATTTTATGTAGTTCCTGGTAACTATATCACAGCATTATTTACTTGATCTGCATTTTCTTTTTATACTGATAAAAGTAATATTCAATCATTATTTAACATCTCATGTCTACTGTTGTAGTTGGATAGTATCTGCTGCTCATTTGTAGTCTACTTTTACTCAATAATCTATGTTGACTGATGTGAGTGATCTCTACTCTTCTAAATTTACACAATTTTTCCTATCTTGGTTTTTGACAGTTATTTTAGTTCACATTTAAAATGTGAGGTATGAGTAGATCGAATGCATTGAAGCTGAAGTACTCTTCACACAGACCCCATTAATTTTCTTATTCAGATCTGTTGCTGTGATTCTTAGTGTTTGAGATCAAGCTGTCGCATTTTAAACATGACATGCATGGATGAGGCCAGGATTTGGCCCTTGGCTGCACCCCATTTGGTCCCCCGCTCCAGAATGGCGTTGTCAGTCTTAGCTTTGCGGACACTTGGCGCACTCAGCTGTCCTGGAAAGAGTTGTGGTGGTGGAGGGCGTGGTTGACCGGGGCTGGCGCCACCTTGTTGCTGCACACAGACTTGATCGTCCAGCGGGGTCAGGGCGGCGGCGGGCCGCGCATGGCCCTGGACAGGGTGAGCCACAGGGCTGCGGTGAGCAGGGCGCCCGCCACGCCCCCCCAGCCCATCTGCAGGCTCCACGCCGTCTCGACGCGGCGCGCCGCCAGCAGCGGGCCCCACAGGGGCGGCGGCGGGAGCACGGCGGCGGCCGCCAGGCCCGCGGGGCCGGCGCCGACGTCCACCGGGGTGATGCCGGGCATGACGCCGTCCACGGCCAGGGCACCCGAGCCCCGGCCCAGGGCAGCGGGGGTCTGCGCGCGCTTGAAGTGGATGATGCTGAGCGTGAAGAGCGCGAACGTGGCTGCGGGTCGGGGGTGGGTTCGGTTCAAATTGAGATAGTTTCAACAAGGCGCGCGAGGTAGGCTTGGTCTGTCCCTCACCTGCGAGGAAGTACAGCACTCCAGTGACGAGCACGGCGCTCGCCTGGTGCGCGACGACGCCGAACGCGCCGACGATGGCGGACGAGCCGAGGATGATGAGGCAGACGAGGGCGCACGAAATGGACAGGTTCTGCATCCCTGCGGGCAGCACAAGTGGTCAGCGCCGGGGTTGCGTGTGTGGGCATTCCCTCCTACCCTCTGCCCCGGGTAGTACTCACGGCGCTGCCAGGACGGCCTCCCGTCCGGGCCTGGGTTGCGCGTCAGGTAGTTGACGCAGGAGGGCTGGCTGAGGCCCGCGGCCCGGAGCGCCGCGTGCTGCTCCTCTGCAACAAGAGCACGGCCTTGGCATGCAGGCGCGACTGGGGCTCGGGCTCAAGGCCGAGGTCGGGTCGGGTCGGGCCACGGCCAACAGGCCCGGGCGCCTGCCAATCAAACTCCAGCTAAACGGGAGCTAGGGTGGATGTGCAGGACGGGTGGGTGGGCGACTGGTGCCGACTTGAGTTTCCTCGCCCCTCACCTGCCGCCGCTGTAGCAGGGCAACGAAACGGCTCGTGTAGATCTTTGCGTTCAAATTTTTGGCGCGCGACTTTCCAAGGGCGTTGTTGCTTGGAGTGCTGATGAGGCGGGGCTCGCTCGGCCGTGCTAAGCAGCCATTAGGCGGGGTGTTGGGTGTTCCAAGTTGTGCGGACGGCGGAGGCGACCGATCTATTCCGGCCCAAAGCTTAAAGCGGCGGGGGCGCGCGCGCTCTCCGCTCTCCCCTTCCGCGAATAGACTTGGCTGTGGTGGTGGCGTGTTCCGCTGGAGCAGCTGGCGCGCGCGCCCCCGCAGCCCCCCGGAGCCCTCCGGGGGGTCGGAGGGCCCCGCATCGACATGGGGGGCGTTCCGATGCGCCACTGCCGCGAGCGCACGCGAAACAACCGCGGTGGCGCGGGCGGCGGCCTCCTGTGGGACTCGCGCCTCCCCGCCGCGACTTACCGTTGACGTTGGCGCACAGCGTCCAGATGCCGCCGTTCATGGGAAGCAGGAAGACGGCCGGACCGGCGGACGGTCCCACGTCCGGCTGGCGGGGGCGGCGCCTCAGCAGTCGGGCCACCTGCGGGGGGCGGCCGACGACATGAGTCTCGTGACGGACTTCACCCTCCTCGTTTCGCTCCCCACCCGGGACCCCTCACCTTGCCGTCGACGAGCCAGTCCAGCCGCCAGTGGTGGGAGCCGTTGCGCTGGTCCTGCAGCAGAGTCTGCTCGACGCGCGCCACGCGCTCGCGGTCCCAGTCCCAGGCCACGTGCTCCCAGTGGTCCGTGATGACGGCGCACACGAGCAGCGCCGTGGAGCAGGCCGTGGCGAGCACGGTGAGCGCCAGGGTGGTCGAGCACGTGCACGAGCACCACGCCAGCCCCGACCCGCCGCCGCCGGCGTGCTCGTCCGCGCTGCTGCCATCCCCGCTGCTGCTGCTGCGGCAAGGAGATGACGGGGGTGGTTCATGGTGGCGGGGGGCGCGCGAGGCACCTCCGCCCTGTCGTGAGCGTGCGTCTCGGGGGCGTGCGATATGGCTATAAAGTTGTCGGGGCTTTGTTGTCATGTCGTGCGTTTTGTTCCCGGCTTGGCCTTCCCTCTACCACCACCCCTTTACCCGGCCTGGCACGGCTCTAAAGTGACACTGGCATGAGCGCGCCCCCCGCCCCCTCCCTTCGCGTTCATTTTCTGTCGTTTTTAAAGGGCTCGCGCTTTACTCTAATTCTTTTGCGTGATTCGGGACATTGCACGCGCGCGCCGCACTGTCGCACGCGACGAGCCCTCGTCTTTAATCCAGGGCTACGCTTTGCATCCGCCTCAGCTGTCGTCGCGGTTGAAACTTGCAGTCATTGAGCGTGCCATTTCTGCCCAATTCGCCGTTTGGTGTCAGCCATGGTGTGTGGTGGTCTCACCTGTCGAACCAACGCACGAACATGGTGTCGCTTCCGTCGTGACTCGCGCGATGTCGTCGTGGTCGCCGCGGTGGCCCCGCTGCTGTCCTGGTGGGCGCTGGTCACACCATGTCTGAACCATAAGACACGAGTGTTCTTGCAGACTGCAGACGTGCTGCCTGAACCATTCGCAGTCTCTGGCGCTGCCGCTCCCCCAGCTCGCTCGCTCGCTCTCGCGCGCGTTCAGACTGCACTGACTGGGGCCGCGTCGCGGACCGCCCCCGTGGGTCCCGCTGCCACTCCCACCGTCCCTTCCACCCCCTTGTTGGAGAGGGGCGGGAAGGGGGAGGAGGGAGACAGCGGTAGACTGTCATCGGGTCTGCTGCAGCTAAAAGCCGACGGTTGCCGTGTCGTGGAGCTTCATTTGTTGTGGAAGGTTGGCCCGAGGACCGGGTTATTTATGTTGGCCACCGAGATTTTTCTTTTGTACCGGGAAGGGGGGGGGGGGGTAGATGAATTAATCACGATTTGGTCTGTCGTCGCGGTCCCCTCACCGCTACTTTTCCTTCGCTGATGCCGCCATCGCCTTCATTGACAGCTGTATCATCCCCCCCGGCCTCGTTCGTCCCTCACTCCCGTCAACTTGGCACGTCAACCCTGACCTAGAAAGCGCATCCCCCTTAAAGCAGGGTGGGGCCCTGCCTGCATATTCCAGTCAGTCTCGGCCAAGTTCGGGCCCTGGCGTTTTGGCGCTCGGCTGAAACAGTGTTCTCCAGCAGGCGGGCCCCAATTCTGTGTGCGCGGGGCGCGCGGGTGGCCTCCCCCCCTCCCCCTTCGCTGGAGAGACCCACCCCCTTCAGTCTGACTCTATTGACGGTCGGAAATGACACGTTTTCAGGAACTGTTTCCTGCCTGCCTTTCACCCAAGTTGTAGTGCCTGGCTGCTCTTGGAGAGGGAAAGAATAACTTTTGACTTTTACTCCACGATCGCGATTGGATGGTGGGAGAGGGGAGCGAGCGAATCGAACTATTCGGTCGGGCGTGAGCAGTGTTTGCCATGGCGTTCGTTTTTGCGAGCGAAATTCAATTCAATTACTGCGGGTGTCGGGGGAGCTGTCCATCATGATGCGGGGTGGGCTTCCCGCCAGACACGCATAGGGAAGGCCCTCCCGATCCCAACTTAAAGATGGTTCCGTGCCGTTTGTGTTTCGCCTGTTCTCCTATGGTTCTTACTAATGGTCATTTCCTTCCTCTGTTGCAGTTTGACATGAGTAACGAGGCCGACACCACCTCCGCCACCGGCACCGTGGCGACGCCCACCAAAGCCGCGCCCCCGACCACCACGGGCTCTGCGCCCACCACGCCCAGCAAGGAGGGCGATGAGGCGCGCATCCAGCTGGTCCAGGGCCGGCGGCACCTCCTCGTCAAGGACTACTTCTCCGCCGTGACCGCCCTGGCCAAGGGCTGCGAGCTGCTCGCGCAGAAGTACGGCGACACCGCCCCCGAGCTCGGCGACGCCTACCTCACCTACGGCCGCGCGCTGCTCGAGCTGGCGCGCTCCGAGAACGGCGTCCTGGGCATGAACGAGGACGGCGAGACTGAGACGGAGGCCGAGGGCGACGGAGAGGACGACGACGAGGATGAGGAGGGCGACGAGGAGGGTGAGGAAGAGGAGGAAACTGGCGAGAAGAAGAACGGCACAGAGAATGGCGTGGAGAACGGAAAGGACGCGGTCGAGGACAAGAAAGAGGACGCCACCGTCTCTTCCAACGGCAAGGCCGAGGCTGACACCAACGGCAAGGCTGAGGCCGACACCAACGGCAAAACTGAGACTGCTGAGGCCGACACCAACGGCAAGGTTGAGACAAGCGAGGCTGAGGCTGCCAATGGTGTGAAGGAGAACGGCCAGGAGGGCGACGTGGATCAGACGATCAAGGAAGAGGAGGAAGATGATGACGTGAACAACCTTCAACTGGCGTGGGAAATCCTCGAGCTGGCGAAGAGCATCTTCCAGAAGCAGCTAGAAGCCGACGGGGAGGTTGACCTCAAGCAAAACTCCCTCAAGTTGGCGGAGGTCCATCTGAAGCTGGGTGAGGTGGGCGTTGAGTCTGAGAACTACAACACTGCGGTAGAAGACATGAAGACTTGTCTGGAGCTGCAAAGAAAGTACCTCGAGGACGACGACCGCCGTGTCGCAGAGACACTGTATCACATGGGTCTGGCTTACCAACTAGCAAACGAGTATGACTCTGCCATTGAACAATTTCAGTCTGCTTGTGAGCAACTTGAAAAGCGCATTTCCAATTTAGAGAAGAAAAAGCCAGAGCCAGAAACTGAAAAGAAGGAATCGGACGATCCATTCTATACTGTTGAGGGAGAAATAACCGAACTCAAGTCCCTTCTTCCTGAAATCAAAGAAAAGGTGTCTGATCTGCAAGATGCCAAGAAAGATACAGTGCGGATGATGATGGAAGGTTTAGCAGAGGCCAGCGCTAAGCAAAGCTCCACAGCAGACGGAGCTGGTCCATCATCATCATCATCTTCTGATAAGCCTGTATCGAGTGTCGCTCATCTTGTCAAAAGAAAACCAAAGGAAGATAGCCAACCTGCACCAGTCACCGAGAACAAAGCTGATGAGAAAACTGATTCCAAGCCTGTCACAGATGAGAAAACAGACGAAAAGACTGTGAGCAGTGAAGAAACTGTAAAGGTTGAAGAGAAGTCTGAAAAGGTAGAAGAAAAAATGGTTACTGATGAATCAGTAGCAGAAACCCAAGATTCCAGCAGTGAAAGAAAAAGGAAACAGGAGGAAACCTCGCAAGTAGAAGACGGTGCTAAAAAAGCCAAGGTAGATGAATCCACTGAAGACAAGCCAGCTGAATAACGATTTTCCTTAACTTGAGCTGAGCTACAACTAATTTAAAGACTGATCTGAAATGTGGAACTTATTTTAATGTTTCAATAATTTGTATTGTTTTAGTGTGCAGCCTATCATAATACTTCTTCCCCAGTATCATTTAATCATTGTTTTACTTTATTTTATTGTGATCTCCTTCGTATGATTGTGATATTCCTGTACTTTTGTAATTGTATTCACATCAGTAAGTAATTAAAATGTTAAAAAGAATATCATGAATTTGATTAATCAAACACCTTATCATATTGCAAATTAGGTATTATCAGTTAAATCCCATGGGGTAACTTAAGTGAGTTTGTTTAACCTTTTCCCCTAGATCGTATGATCAGACTAAAAA